ATTAATCATCCTTGTTCCTGCACCTGTTATTTCATGTGGTTTTCCCCCCTAGAATTTAGGGATAGAGACTGCCTCAGCACCACAACCTGAGAGCATTTTGCTTTTTGAGTTCTGCTCCCATGATGGCGGTGATAGTTTCCATTTCTGGGCCCTCCTTGCCATTCGCCATCACCCTCAGACCTGTTATCACTGGTCTTATGGAAAACAGGCAACTATTCATTTGGTTTTGGGGCCACACCTAGATTACCCTTGATTTCTACCCCTTACTGCAGGGCAGCCCCACTTCTTTCTCAGACCTTCTCACCGTGGTCAGCACGCTCTTTTGCTCCTGCCCACTTCTGAAGCACCAGGCAAGGCCCGGGGAGTGCTGTGCCCGTGTTTATCTATAGTGTCTGCCAGAGCTATGTGGAAGCACCTCTGACAAAAGCAAATATTAGATATCAGGCATCACAGAAGAGAAGGATGTTGGCAGAACACGGAAGTGGGTCACTGAAGGGAAGGCAGCTGGAAAAGACCTGGAGGCTTCGATACAGGCATGAACTGCCTTGCCCTTTGAGGTGACTGCAAGCAGACACAACGCAGGCACCTTTATAGGCCAGGTTAATTCTCCCCTGACTGCATGCTGCCCCCTGACTGCCCGTGCAGTTCGTCGCTGGTTAAGGTGTGAGCTGTGGGGAGCTGAAACCCTCGTGTATGTAGAGCATCAGTCTCTACTGAAAAGGGAGGATGGGAACAGAGGGTCCCTGAGGACTCACCTGACGACAATATCGTATTCATCGATTTTCAACCCCAGCGACTTGTTTGCAAGCACTCCACCGTTTCCCACGATGATACAGCGCCGGCAGCTGAGACTGTGGAGGGAACAGGGAACAGCTGGGGGTTAGGTTGTTCACTTACACAGAGCCACTAACAGCCCACCTTCCGTGCAGCTTGTGGCTATCCACGCGTGCCGGGAAACCTCTGGGAGCACCAGGAGTTTTAAGGAAAGGAAGCAGAGTTGTGGGGGAGAGGGGAGGACAGGGTTATGCTCCATCCTTAGCTCAGTTTATCATGGCCACCTGGCACACAGGGCAAAGTGCCCAATACTGCATACTGCCCGCAGCATGACTAGGAGAGGCAAGCTCCTCTTGCTGCTTCCTGGATCTGGCTGGCTTCAATTAAACCCATAGGTTACCTAAGCCGTTACCCAACCTTCATTTCATAATCTAGTAAAAGATACTGGGGAAAGTCCCTTTTCTCCACTAAACAAAATGTGAATGATCCAGTCAGTATGCCAGAGATTAGCACCTGCAATACAGATGGCATCTGATCACACAAAGGACAGGAAGACTGAATGGCAGGTCGGCCTCCTCCAACGTGATGACGGGTCCCAAACCCAGTAGACACACCACTGGGCTGAGACCCAGAGACCTGGGTGCAATACCTGGCACTGCCACTGCTTGGCTTAGTGACCTTGATCACTAGCAGGGCAAGATAGTTCCCCGACCCTCAGTCCTCGGCTCACTTTCCCCATGTGTGCAAATGGGGACGCTGACCCCAATCCCTTGTCTAACTGACTAAGCAGCAGCACGTAAGAGCTTGATGCTGCTACCGTGTTATCTTGCAGCCATGAACATGCTCAGACGAAGCCACCCCTGATGCACGTGGAAGGAGACACCGTACAGTATGTAAAACAGCCACTCAGAGACTGAAATTTTAAGAGACCAGTGTTGACTTTCCCAAACAGGCCTGATCCTGCTTATAACAGGGAGCTAGATTAGATGCGATCCCCTGAGGTCCCTTCCAGCCCAACTCTTCTATGATTCAATGGCCCTGGGCATTTCAGGAGACGTAGAAGGCCAGTTGCAGCTAATCCTGAGTGATACAAGAAGCCTTCCGGCTTTGGGCTCTTACCCAGCCACAGCAGGGCTCCACAGGACTTTGCTCTGGACACCCCCGAAAGGGTTGAACCCAGTGGAGCGGCGAGTATGAGGCATGCACAGTGCCCATCCAGGCTGGCGTGTGCCTGCTCCACCATGCTCCGCCTAGATGCCCCGAGGAATACTGGAGCAACCGGAGAAAACGCTCCTCTGAGTGCTCTCGTCAGGGCCTCGCCTACCTGGGCCCCAAAACAAGAAGAGCTTCAGGAACTACAGGCCTGATTCTTTTTTCCCTGTCACAAGAGAACAGTCCAAAGAGAAGAAAGACCCAGTGTCACAAGCACAGAGCGGGGGGAAAAGGCATGACATCAGCAGACTTTCTCTTTTTGCTAGCAAGCAAGAAATTAATCCTTGGGCGACACTGAGATGCTGCTTCACTGCAACCGTTTCTTATAAAATTGCAGAAGTGACCTGCTCCTGCCAGGCTCTGGTGTCAGTCACTAAGACTGGGCCTGAAGTGAGCTTTAGAGGTTGAACAAAATGACTGAGGACTGACCTACTGCTACGCCTGCCAGCTGACACCACAGGCACGCAGTAACAGTGCCCAAGGAGCTTCCAAGCACAGCTACAAATACATTAGGGGAACACAGCATCTGCGATGACACAGGTGGGTCTGCTGATGAGCAGGAGAACTTTGGCTGCTCCACTCTGGATGGCGGGACGGGGCAAGCCTGCGTGTCACTAAAGCCAAAAGGGGGCTGGTGATTATAGCAGCCAAGTCAGGACATGCTTAGGGCATGAAAACAGGCTGTGGACAGTGGGCCAGACAGGAGAGGATGGGAGAGTTAGGAAGAACAGTGCAGCAGGATTTGACAGTGCAGCTTATACGTGGCAAGGGGAGGAAGCAGTCCGTTAATCCCAAATTTATGAGCTAAAGCCCAGAGAAGAAAAAAGTTTTGTCAAAAAGAAGGTGCGCGTGTGGGGTGGAGGTGGGGAAAGGAAGGTGTCAGGACTTCAGCTGCAGCCACATTAACATGAAGATGGTCACAAGCCCTGCAGAGAGGTAGGACTATAGTGAAGATATCCGGTCCCGAGAGGCGACGTGTACTTTTCATGGACTCCGTAGAGCCATGGGCTGTTCTGACTGTCCAGTGTGACCTCTCAAACAGCCCGTGGCATCTTCTCCTGGGCCTGCAATTTCTACATCAGGCTCCATTTAGGGCATAAGATGGGAGTAAGCATTTGGTTTCCACCATGACAGTCTCATTTTCAGCACCAGTCCCAGGTTTGTCATGGGTTAGGTCAAATGCTATTGGTTTGGTCCCATCCTCAGCAGGATGCCCATCCTCTGCACTCCTCGCTCCCTGAACACCCACCCCAGTCTCTGGCACATGCAGCTGAACCCAGGGCTCAGAGACACTGAGCATGCCAGAGAGCAGGGCACCCGTTTGAGGGCAGGGCACTAGGGTCACTCCAGGATGGGTGGACACGGCAGGTAAAAGCCGGGGTGGCAGTTCGCCACGCATCAGCTGCTCTGAGGTAACTGCCCACGTGCACACTCTTACCCTGTGCAAATGAGGGCTGAATCCCATGAGCTTGGCCCTTAGCGAACAAGAGTTCCCCCATCCATTTAACTGCTCACCAAGTCATTCATCTGATTGTACCCTTTGCAGGATGACATCCAGCCTCAAAGGCTTCATAGCAATGACTAAACCCTCTCACTGCTAGAAACATGCACTCATTTACAGACTGCATCTGTTTGGCTCATTACAGCTTCTTCTGCTGAATTAAAGCCACCAGGAATTGCTTCCACATGGGGGGCAGGAGCAGACAGGACAGGTGAAGCTCTTCAGTGTGCAGCTGCACGCCGGGGTGCTTCCAAACTGCTGCGACCACATGCAGCCGGGGGGTCTGACAGGGAGCTGTGCCCCATCGCGGGGGGAAGAGGGGCCAGTGCAGCTGACTGCCCCCGAGAGATCTTCTGTCTGCTCGGCCTCTGTCCCACAGGACGCCTCCACCCCAAGCAGTTCCTTGTGCTTCCCCTCCTCCATTTGTGGGGAAGTGTGGGGGAAGGGACATAGCGTTGTGGGATACTGGAGGACTTGAGGGGTCCCCTGTTGTGCTCTGTACAGAGTACGTACATAACAGGGAGAGCTCCATTTTGAAGTCTTTTAAATAGCAGTGCAGGGATCAGCAATATTTTTGGGCCAAATGCCAAAAAAATCCCACAACCTCCACTTGGAAGATGTTGATGTGCTGGGGGGGGGGTGATGGGGCAGCCATGAGGGGCCCAATCCTTGTGGCAGTGCAGCCCCAGCTCCTTCTCCACCATGCCCCCTGCAGCGTGTATACAGCCGCCGCTGGAGATGAGCTGGGATGGGACTCCAGACACTGGTGCAGCCACTTGTTGCAAGCAACCTGGGCTCTGGGCAGGACCCTGCTGCCCACCACAGAGCCCAGACTCTGGGCAGACCCCTGCCCTCCATCACAGGGACCGGGCTGCTCACAGCAGGGCTTGCGGCCTCCTTGCCACCCACTGCAAGCAGCCCAGGCTCCGTGGCCAGCAGCAGGGACCTGCTCAGAGCTGGGGCTGGCTGTGGCGTGCTGAGCAACATGGCTTCACATGCCACACTCTGGCACTCGTGGCAAAGGTTGCCGACCCCTGTAGTAGTGGTTTCCTTCAGGATTACTCTTGCACTGCTTCAAAGGGTGTCTGAAGCACTTCAGATGTTACCTCTGTCCCTCGGTGTCACAGATCGTGCTGGAGTGGTCACCTACCACTACCGCTAAGCCCTTCCTATTGTTATCACATTCTCCCACCTCGCCATTTCTCAGTCCTTGCATCTGGCTATTAAAACAACAGCTGCTTGCACGGCCTGCCTCCACCAGCTAATCTGGATCAGTCCCAATCACTGATTTATCTTTATCAATATTTACCATCCTACCAGTTTTTGTGCATCTGCAAATATCAGTACCAATGATTTTATATGTTTCCCAAATCACTAACAGAGATTGCACTGGGCTGGAAAGAGACCCCCCACCCCGCACATGGATCCAGTAGCAGCACCACCGCAGAATGACGACTCCCCACTTGCAAGGACTTTTTTAGATCTCTGAGTTGAGCATTTTCTAATCCAGTGATTCCCAGTGCTTCTTTGTACAGCACTACATTACAAACCAAAAAAACCCAAAGCAGAACAGCACGTGGCACTAAGTCAAATGCCCTACAGCAGTCTCACTATATGCACACAGCTACTGGTATCAAGAAAACCTGCAACAGCACAAAACAAAATCTCAAGTGTACTTGACAAGATGCATTTTCCACAAAATCCACAGTAATTAACATTAGCTACACTGCCAACCATACTGATTGTGTCCTAGATCGACCTTTCCATGATTTTGCCTGGGATCGATGTCAAGCTCATCAGCCTAATTACACTGCTCATCTCATTTACCCTTTAAATAATGGCAGAGCATCAGCTTTTTTTCCCCAGATCTCTGGAACTTCCCCAAAACTCCAAGGACTGTTAAAAACCAGTATTAGCGGTTAAGTGTTCCACTTCTTTTGACACTTGTGAGTGCCAACTGACTTACAAATATTGTACAGCTGCATTTAACAACCTTCTCAGTTACCAATAGAATAGAAAAATAATCACTTTTCACTGTAAATGGGAAAACACCATATTCAGGGGACAAACTGACACTGGAGGAAGCCGCTACGGGTGTTGATCCCCTCTGGAGAGGGAGCAGAGGAACTAGATGAGCTGCAAGGCCCGGGTTGGGGATTAGTGGACAAGCGGTGGGATGGAGTCTGAACTGGAAGGAGAGGGTGAGCTGAGGTCAGCTACCAGATCTGTTGGGACGACCGACTGCTGCCTTGTGCCTTCCTGAGCGTCCGTTTCAGAACCAGCAAACAGAGCTGTGGTGCAGGGCAGTCCCGCTGCACACCTTGAGCTCTGACTCCTCCATACTGGGAAATGGGTGTGGGGAAT